GGACGGGGCCGGGGGGCGGGGCGAGCCGGGAAGGGGCGGGGTCACGTACAGACAGATTGGTGACTGGAGGGTGCAGGCTGCGAGCAGAAGAGAGGTGTGGGCGTCCCTGTCGGTAGAGTCCCTTGGGAGCGGTTGAGGGCACCAGAGTCAGCGGCCCGGCAGGTAGGAAAGGAGGGATGGCTCGAGGGGCTAGAGAGAGAGTTGGCGCTGCTGAGCGCGGCGGGGGAGTGGTGTGGGCGGTGACTGGCCCGGGGAGCTCCTGTGAGGGTGCACGGTCCCATAGTGACCCGCTGACCTGCCTCTGGCCTGAAGGCCTCTCTCCGGTCCTCCGCCGGAACCTGGTTTTTCTCTTTGGCTTGCTTCGGTAGTTATCCAGGCCCAGGGAAGAGCACCTGCCGGCGGCCGCTCAGCCCGGCTGGGTAGTCTCGAAGGGATGAGGTGGAGGAAACAGCCTCATTCGTCACACCTGCGCCTGCTAGACCACAGCTTCTCGCCACTTTCTGGCCATGGAATTTGACTAGATTGAGCGTTGAGAGGGCTCTAAACCCAGAAATCGTTTTAAAGTGAGACTCTAGAAAACTGTAAAGTTAATTCCTTTTCCCAAATTCTGCTCTGTAGTCTAATCGAGGTCTCTTGTTTTTACCGGTTGAGGTCCGTAGGTTGAATTGTACTTTCACAGTTAAGCTCAAATTGCTCTTTTATTTCGTGTGTTCGTGTGACTCCTGCCTCCTCCTCCTCCTCGGTCACACTGAGAATTTCACACTGGGCCAGGTTGACCCCGATTTGCATTCCTCCTGCCTCATCCTCCCAGACTTCTGGGATTACAGGTATGGGCCATCACACCTGGCTGTGTGATCCCTTAGGAATCTAGCTTGTCTCTTTTTCTTTGTCTTGCATCTTTTCCTCTTTTGAAAGTTTGCTTCCAAATTCATTTATTCCCAAGTACCTTTTCTTTGCTTTTTTACTTTCTTGCCTACATTTTCCTTCTTGAGAATCAGACCACCATCTCGTGAATTCCTTCACCTCGAACTGCTACTCCTGAGTGCCAAGTGCTGGGCAGCTGCCTGCACCTTAATGACCAGTGAGTAATGTTAGCTCCACCTCTCAGACTAATTTCATTTTTATCTCTTGTCCTCACTTCAAAACTTGCTTTTCTTCCTGGGTTTCTCAACATTAACCAGATATAAAACCTCCACCCATTTGTTAAGCAAATATTATGTGCACTTGGTGTGTTCTGTACATTATTCCTAGACACTTGGGATGCAATGATGAACTAATTTTATTTAATGGGGGCCAAAAGACACTAAAACCAACTAACAAGATACAAGATTTTGATGTTATAGTGAAAAGGATTACTTTGGTTAGAAGGCATCAGAAATGGCTTTCAGTTCAGGAAGATTTCTGAGCAAAAAACTTCATATACAAGCAGTAATTAACCAGAAATTTTAATAATAGATACTGCGCTGGGTGTGGTGGTGCATGCCTGTAATCCCAGCACTCGGGAGGCTGAGGCAGGAGGATCGCTGTGACTTGGAGACCAGCCTGCACTCATAGTGAGTTCCAGGCCAGTCTCAACTACATAGGGAGACCCTGTCTCAAAAAACAAAAAACAAACAAACAAAAAATGATACTTTTCATAATGGTATTCAAAACTAAAGGTATCTAGAAGTGGATCAGACTAAAGTTATGTAGTACTATAGGGAGAAAGTTACAATGGTTTATTGAAACACATAAAAGAAGACCCAGTAAATGAAGAGATATATAACATTCATGAATAGCAAGACAATATAAAAAAGATGACAGGTCACTGTATGCTTTTTTGTTTTTGTTTTTTTTATACCGGGATCGAACTCAAGACCTTGTGTTTACAAGGCAGGTAGTGGAACCTCTGAGCTAAATTCCCAGCCTTACTGTATGTTTTTTTTATGCAACTTGACATATTAGATCAAAAATTTATTTGGAAAACCAAGTAGCTAAGTCATGTTTTTTGTTGTTTTGGTTTTTGAGACAGGATCTTGCTATGTAGTTCACATTGGCCTTGAACTTACCTGTGTAGCTCAGACGAGCCTCAAACTGCAGCAATCTTCCTGCCTCAGGTTCCCAAGTGATGGGATTACAGGCATGTACTGCCATTGCCATGCCTGGCAGCTAAGTCAGTTTTGAAGAAGAAAATTAAATATGGTTCTTCCCTACCTAGTATGGAAGCTTAATATAAAGGTAAAATAAGACAGTGTGGACGGGCATGGCACCTACCCATAAGCACAGCATTTGTGAGGTTGAGGCAGGAGGATCATGAATTTAAGGCCAGCATGAGCTACATAGGGAGACTTTGTCTCAAAAAAAAAAAGTATATTGATTCGGGGATAGAAAAATAGATTCATAGAACAGAGTAGAGCATCTAGAAACATAGCCATGTATGCATGGAATCTTAGTATACTACTAAGCGGTATTCCAAAGCAAGGAGGAAAAAAAATAGACTATTCAATAAATGATGTTGAGATGCATTTCATCCATTTGGAATAAAGACAAAATTAAATTCCTACTTCATATCAGTCTCAACAATTTCTAGATGAATTACAGACTTTAATGTGAAACACACATCTGCAAGATTTTTAGAAAAAATACATGCCTGTTATCTCTAGGAAAGATTTCTTTTTTGCTTACTTTGTTGGACAATATACATATTTATGGATACGTATATTTATGAATTTATATATCCATATTTATCCATATCCATGTTGTAGTACAATATCCATTTTTAGTCATTTCATCCTTTTTAGGTGTATCATTCAGTGACATTCACACTATTGACCATCATTACTGTTTGTCCATCTCTAGAACTTTTTCATCAACCTAGGAAAGATTTCTTGTTACAAAAAAAATAATGATAATACCATTGAGGATGCTGTTGCATTACTCCAAGTGAGAATTGTTGATGACTGGATCTAGAAAGAGTGGTGACAGTGAGGATGGAGAAAAATGGAGTAAACAAAGAATCAAAGGCAGTACCAAAGTGTTTTGCTTGAGCTTCAAGGTAGATCATTTACTATTTATAATTATAAATAATTATATTTTATATAATTATTTACCATTTGGTGCTGGTGGTGGAGAACATATTTGGAAGAAGGGTTTGAGGAGAAAAAAATGAACAGTTCTGTTTTGGATTTATCCTATTGGATATCCAAGTGGAAATATTCTGTTGGAAAGGTAGAAGTTGAATAGATGAGTAAAACATTGTTGCTAGAGGTTCTCTGGGACCACTGGGATGTAGACATTTTCTACTCAGGTGGATCAAGGTTAGATTTTACTGTATTACACAGGAAATATCTGATAGCAATGTTAAATGTGCATGTATTTGCATAAATAAGTAGTAAATTGATTGTTATAACAGCAGCTCCATCATCAGAGACTTTGATTCTTCTCTCTTGCTGCTGTGCCACCCTTAGTATGGTGATTCATGGTTAACATGGCTGCTTTAATTCCACTGTCACTTGCTCATTTAAGAAGGGAGGATAGAGAAGAATGAATAAAGGCACATATTCTTTAAAGATACTTCTTAGAAGTTGCACGTGATATTCACTTATATTCTATTAGTTCAATCTTAGTCAGTGACCTCACTTAACCAGAAGGGAAAAAAGGTGATGTAGTCTTTATCCAGTTATCTGTATGCCCAGCTATAATTTAGGTTTTACTAATAAGAATGGAAGGGTGACCTGATCTGGGAGTGGTGGTGCAGACTTACAATCCGGGCTGCTCAGGAGACTTAGGCTGGATGATTGTGAGTTCAAGGGTAACCTGAGAAATTCAAGACTCTCAAAAATTAAAAAGGATTGGAGATGTAGTTTAGTGGTAGTCCCCAGTACCACAGAAGAAGAGGAAAAGAAATGAAAGGGTAAAATGGTTAATGAGTGTTTTTTTTCAATCAAGATAATGAAGCTACCTTATGAATACCCCAGTGACCTTCCTATTATTAAATTTGATGGAATTTTGAATATTTGTTTAATTTTGTACTAATTTTCCTTTAATTACTCTTCTGTTCTTTACAGTGTTTCAGATTTAATATAATCATGATTGTAATCCCTAAAGCTATTTTATTTATTTATTTATGAAAACAATGTTGAACTAATAGTTCAAGCTGGCTTTGAACTTGCTATGTAGCCCAGGCTGGGCTTGAATTCACAATCCTCCTGCCTTAACCTTCTGTGTGGTAGCATTCGAGGCACGTACCACCGCACTCACCTCTCAAAGCTCTTTTAAATACATATTGACAGGCTGACTCTAAAATTATGTGAAAATAACAAGGACGTAGAATATTCTAGTCTGTCTTAAAAAGAAAGAACAAAGCTGGGGATATTATAGTACTATCTAGCTTCAAAACTTACTATAAAACAACAATAATTAAGACAGTGTAGTACATATATAAGATATACAAATAGATCATTAAATATATA